ACTGTCATCAGTGTTTTCTTGTCAACTGTAATGTAAGCCTCAAGACCAAATTTAACCCAACAAAGACACAAGAGTAAGGTAGATTATTGTAAAGTAAAAAAAAAAAAAAAAAAGCTTAAAGCTCAACCTAAAGAAAGAAAGAAAGAAATTGATAATTTTTCTTTATTTTTAAAAAGGAAGTGATCATTAAATTTTAACCCAGGTTCAAAGTCTGTAGTATCATTGCATAAAATCCTTTTTTATTCAGTGATCTGGGGGTGAGGAATGAAAAGGAAGTGAGGTGGAGGGAACAAAAAAAAACATTAGGTAAAAGCCCCATAACGTGCGGGGGAGGGGGGGGATGAAAAGAAGGCAATGATGGTTGGTGGCAACGATGGTGGTAGTAGTAGTCAGAGTAGGAAGAAATGAAGGATGTGTACTGGCCTGGCCTTATTCCTCCTGTTCGTTCCTGGTGTTGTCCATTGCATAAACTCATTACGTAACTGCTCGTTGGATTCCGATCGCTGTCGGTGCCTGTAGGCAAGGAAGGAGCCTGCCTACCAAGAAAGAGGGCAGGACAAAAAAATCAATACACCAGCCAGCCTACAGACATGGATCACCAGCATTCCTTAGCAACTTCACCGTTTGAATTATTTACACTCCAACCTGCCACTGGCCTACTTCACGACCGATGGTAGTGGTGGTGATTATGGTATACAGTACAACAACGAGGAAGAACACAGCTAACTGAGAACGTGGTCAGGAGGTGGGGACCAGCAGCACCAAGTCAGAAATGGGCTGGGGCAGAAGATGAAGAAGAAAAGTAGGATGAGGCCAAGAGCAACTTAACGCAAAGGTACACACATGGGCCTCAACTCACCAACCAACCACCAATTATATATTTTCCAAGACCACAACAGTGACAGCAACTTTTTCATCCTATTTGCTGTAGAAAAGCAGAAGAAAATGTTTTTTTTTTCCTCTCTTTCTTGCTTTTGTATACTTCAATGTTTTGGTATAAGGAATGATAACAGTTCATGGAATATGAAGGGTTGGTGTTCAATACTATAAAAATAGACCTGTTTTTTTTTGTTTTTTTTCTCTCTTCCAGAGCCAGCCTAGCATACAGTATTTTTTCAATGACAAGTGCAGACAGCTGACCCAGTTGAAAGTGGCATTGTTTTACATTCAAACATGGAAATCATGAAAGATGTAAGACTTTTTAATTAAAGAAAAAAAAAATACAGCAGCAGAAGCCCAATTGAATGATGAGAGGACTCCGAGGACGTTAAAAAAAAAAAAATCATTTACAGACACTTGCTTCAAATGGACTAAAATTGTCCATCATCAAAGTAAAAAGAAAGTAATTTTTAATGCATGCTCAGGTATACACACATTATTAAAAAAAAATAAAAAAAAAAAAATAGGCTTTGAGATTTACTTAGTGTGTATAGAGGTTGGACTTGACATTTCAATGACAATTCATAGCAAAATTATTATTAACTTTATTATGGTAAATTTACGTTATATTCTAAAAGTAATTTCTTCAGCATTTCAACTGTCTAGAGAGAAAAAGATCCACAAGTCCACAAGCACACTTTCGAACATAAAAATTCGTTTGATTAAAAACTAATCTGAATATAGGGCACCTACTTCAATTAAAAATTATCAATGTAGGAACTGAAGAAGGGCTAACTCGATCACTGTGATGCAATATAATAATCATGGTGGCAAATGGATATCAAAATTAATGTAAACTCTTTAAAAAAAAAAAAAAAAGTGGGGGGTAAAAGGTGCTAAAGTCGTCAAAATTTCATCAACAGGCAATTTATCTAGAAAATAAATAGTAACTTTTTTTTTCCATTGAATCAAGTGATAAAATAAGGGAAGTAGGAAGCCGAATAGGTTTAGCCCAGTTGACAACAGTTGAGAACGGGCGGCATGGCGGTGTGGGTGGGAGCATTAACCTACTAATAAAATGTAACCCAGACAGACTGACAGACAGATTTACTAGGGCAGACAAAACAGGCTGGGGGTGATCAGTGGAGAAAGCGCTATTCAAGCTTTGTTGCGCAATGCTGCTGACATAATAACTAGGACAGACACACACGCACACAAAAGAGAAAAAAATTTCTTGGCTCGTTCATTTATTTGTAACGTACAAACACACACACACACACACACACACAGTCCCACCTTTTTTCCGTTCGACGTACACAATGAAAAGCAGAAAAAAACATGCGCATCTCAGCCTTGTACACAAAAAACGGGTATATAGCACAAAAATATTTTGGAAAAAAAAAAGATCAAGAAAAATAGGACAAAAATGGGAGAGAGAAGTAAAGATATGATAAGAAAAAAGTGTTCAAATTAAGATTACTATTACATTATCTTTTTTTTTTTCTTTTGTATGACAAAGGGTCGATGATATAGCTTCTGAAATCGGGTTAAGAAATTTTTTTTTAAAAAAACGCAACTCACCTGCACTAGTATTCTGGTTCGACATGTCTGCATTGGTTGCCTGCAATGAGAAGAGAAAAAATTATCCGGGCGAAAATGCATGTTCTGCAGTTAGCTGTCAAGGGAAGCAGATATGAATTAAGGCCATGTATGACGGAACACCGAGTGCCTGCCTGCCTGCTTTTGCCTTGTGTGCGCACACACACACACGCATCATACACTACACATACACGCACACGAGTGCGCCGCACACCACCCATCCCTTATACTTTAACTCCCCCCTCACTTCATCATCGTCTTTTTTTCTACTACCCATTTTTCTTCCTTTCTTTCATTACTTCCTCCTCCCTCAACACAAACTTGACCTTCCTAGTTTGATTGAAAAGATAATACCTGAGAATGTGCGTGTCGGTAAAGATGCCAAAGTCCGGACAACAGGCAAAAAGGTCCGTTTCGGACACTGATTGGGACCTAATTTAGGTAACGGACATCGTTGGCATGGGGTTGTTTTTTATAACGCGTGTATATTCTGTATGTAAGTGTGTGTATGTGTGTATGTGCGCGCGCGCATGTGTATGTGTGTGTGTATGGATGTACATACACGCGCGCTTTTTTCCTTCCTCCTGATTCTAAAATTTTGTATGACTTATTCTTTTTCTTCTTCTCCATCGACTATCCCCCCTCTTCCTTTCTCTTTCCATTTCTTATTCGGCACTTATACAGCAGCAGCAGCAGGCGCCGCAACTGCTACTGCTGCTGGCAGGCGGTGACGGCGGGCAAAGCAGCTGCACAACACCCACCACGACTATTCGCTCTTTCATCTCCTCTTCTCTTCCTACGTCGTGTGTGTGTGTGTGTGTGTGTGTGTGTGTGTGTATATATATATATATATATATATATATACACACACATACACGTATCGAAGAGGCGTGCGCGTGCACACACATCGCGCACCGAAAGTACTAGGACAAACACACGCGCACATGCAGTAAACCTGCAGAGAGTTTACCGTTTCTTGCCTGTGATTGACGCAACATCTTATCATCATTATCATCATAAACTTCTCCCAGCAGCTCATAACACACTCACACTTTAAGAATGTTGCTTTAATTTTAATTTATAAAAATCGTTTCTTGCTTTCCTCTCTTAGAGCACAAACTGAGTGTGGGGGTGTAAGAAATACTGCGTTCGTACAAATGAATAATAAATCATGGAAAATACTTTGAAATGGAAAAGAGAACTTCAACATCTCTTTAAGGGCAAGAATAAAGGTGTTTGAAAGAACAATGAACTTAAAAAAAGAAATCAACATTGAAACAACTGAAATCGGAAGAATTAAATTTTCCTCTGTCCATCAATCATTCATTGTTTATTTGAAAGTAGGCTTAAACCAATTCTTTGTACTTTCATTCCAAAAGTAAAAAAAATGGTTGGAATTCATAAAATTTGTAATATGTCTTTAAAAAAGTGTTTTGCTTTTAGAAAGGGGGGGTATATTTTTTCATTTCAGTTGATTCTTTTGTCACATCAATTTAGTGTGCCCACCCATTTACAGTTGAATAATAATGAATGAATGCTATGCTGTTCCAAGTAGGATTGACAGGAAACTTATCAACTTGGAATCAATTTAGAACGTTTGACACTTAAATGTTCTACTTTGGAGACTGTATGTGTAAAAAATGATGTGGCTACCTCTAATAATACTGACATCCTAATTCCTAAGGCATATCGGTAATGTAGGCAACAGTAAAAATAAAATCGTGCCGGTTGACTAAAAAAGAGAAAGAAAAAAAAAAGTCTCATTTAAAGTGTGTGACCGGAAAATGTACCAATTTGGCATATTTAATTACTACGGGGAAACACATACATAACGAAGTGGCAGCAGAACCATCAGAAGAGAAGCTGGTGAGTTCAGCTACGGCCATGTGTCAAGCTTTAAGGAGTCAATTCTACCCCCCCTTTCCACTCTCATACCTGTAAATGCTTGTCACCTGACCTGTTAGTTAGCCAATATTAAAGAGAGATATTGAGGTGAAAAAGGTATGCCACAATCAGGGTGTGATAAACACCACAAAAAGCGAATTACTGGCATTCGTTTTGTTTGAATAAGTGGACTTGTCCGGGGCACTGTACAGGGCAGGACCGGACCGGACCGGACCGGACCAAAGAAGGACAAAGTAGGCGGGGGGAAGAAGCACAATCGAACATCTATTGGATGTCCTTGTCCTTCAATCCAATACTTTTCTCTAACTTTTCATCACATCTATGACCATAAAAAAGTAAAGTAAACTGAATGTAACAAAAAACTCTTGAGTAAAATGCGTTCGTAATTCAGAGAAATAACACTGAGACAGAAAAATGCGTGACAGATAACTGAGGCACACGAGGAAGAAGTTCTGCGACCAGAAAGTTTTTAAATTCAGGAATATTCAAAAGTCAAGTACTGTACTGATGTTTCAGATCTCTAAAGATAACTTCAAAATCATTTCAGTTCTGGTAAATAAAAATATTAAATAATAAAGACAAGATTTTACGCAAAGTTATTTTTAGAACGTCTTTTTTTTCAAGAAAAAAAATTTAATGCTCCATTTAACAGAAAAAAATTATATTTTAACAATCCTTAATTTAAACACTGGATAAAAATGCGTTTAAGTGAAAATGAAAGCATTTTTAAGGAAATAGAACTGAACGAAAGTTAAGAACCTAATTGAAAGAATAGTGCAACTTAAAGCTTCCAGTTCATCTAAAAATCTGAAACGTTGAAACGCTGTCAATAGGTAAACCCCAAAAAGTTTATAAGTTATGATATTTTTTTAAAAAAATCTCATCACTATATAGACATTATTATTCATAAGTGCTATTAAGTGAAACAAGTTGCTATGGCAACCTATGGCAAACAGGCATCTCTACAGCTTAAACGGCCGAGAGTAATGAACATTTCAAGCTTTCTCTTCCACGCACTCCAGACGGGCTACTGGGCAAACTACTTTATTGACAATTCCATATAACTTTAAAAAAAAAAAAACGAAGCAAAAACCAAAAATAACAACAACACTAAAACCCTAACCTCCTGACATAAAAATAATTTCTTTTTATAACGCTGTACAGACTCAAACCGATGTGTGCCAAAGTTGTGCACGAAACAGGGAAAAGCTTATTTGAAAAATTTAAAAAATGCATTTCAAATTCATTTTTAAACAAAATTTCAAGTAAGTTTAATGAAATAGAGAATTTTTTTCAATAATTAAATAAAAATAAAAGTATATCTTTAACGAAATTTAAATATTCATTAATTAATTTTTTGGGCAAATTTTAAAATAAATGTTTTCTTGTGATTTAATTACGATTTATACCAAACATGATTGAACACTTTTTAGTTTTTTAGTTTCAAATGATCGTACCAACAATTTTTTACGCACGCAATGGACCAAACGCACACACATGCACGAAGTGAGTCCAACTGAGAACTTTTTAGCACCTCATATGAAAATAAGTAGATAGAAATATACTGAATAGAGAGAGAATATGTCCCAATAAAACTTAAAACAAGAGTAAAAATAAATACTTGTGTTAAACTTGGTACTAACTACTGCAATTCAGTCCTATGATCTTAAATTAAATTAACACCAAATTCGTTAAATTTAGAAATTTATTTTATTTTTACGACCTTTCATTTAGTGTCCTAACTTGCAACGTAATTAAAATATAAATTTTCCCAAGCATTATCATAGGCTTTGTTATGGCACATATAGTTTTCCTAAATGAGGATTAGTAATTTTTGGAAACCTCTACGTCCGATGACGGATGTGGGCGATACCAAACAATAAATAAATAAAACCGTTTCTGGCATGTTTTTTTAAATATAAAATCAATTCCTAATTCGTCTATTTCATTAAATAACTGGTATTATGATTTTTTTAAGAACAATTTTTCAAATAATTTTTAAAAATTAAATTATGTGAATTAATAAATAACATTGCTGTAAAGAAAACAGCTTTAAAACAAATGATTCACTCTTAGTCTTCAAACAAAGTCATAAGACCTGGCAGCAATTAGAACAAATATACCAAAAAAAGCACTAGCACGAACAAAAATAAAAAAACATAAATCCAGCCAAACAGAGAGAAAAAAAAATTAGTTCAAATGATTTAAAAAACAAAAACAAACTATTCTTGAATCTCTTGAAACTATTTTTTAAGGTTGATTCATAACTGAATCTTTATAAAATTGAAACTAATTTTTTTATTGTTTAATTTTAGGAGCAAAGTAAATTATTCTGCTTTTAAAGTTTTATTTATTGTAAATGTAAAAACAGTGTAAATTAAAGTGTAAAAACAAATCATTTGATGCTATTTATTCTCCTTACAATTAATTACTGAAATTTTCACACCCAAGCAAAGTATACTGTTTTACAGTAATTGACTGATGGAATTCAGAAGATTTCAATACACATTTACAAAAAAAAAAAAAAAAGGCTTAAATTTTTTCATTAGATTAAATAGGAAGAAAGATATTTGATGCAAAGCAGAGTACTTATGAAAAAAATGTATATAAGCTCCTAGAAACAAAAAGAAATTGAAAGACAATATTCCTTGTTAAAATTTGCAATTATGCCAAATACTTTTGGCATGTAGACATTTTGAATTTGGTTTTTTTTTAATCTTCAAAATGTCATCCTTATATTCAATAGGTTATTCTTTTGAAGTTTATTTACTTTGAAAATCATATGTTATATAATCCATTCTATTCTAAGTATTAGAAATTGTCAAGAAATAAAAATGCTCTAGAAAAATTCTGAGTAGCATAAAGAGTGTTAAATTTTGACACAACTATCTGTCCTCTTTACTCTAAAGAACTCAGCTCTGAAAGCCTAACAATAAAAGCAAGCCAGGTCAGTAAATGGTAAGAAATTTAACAAATTCAAAACAATTCAATAAAAATGAAAAAGCAATTTTCAAATAGATAATTTCAATTGGTTGACAGACACAATTTTAACCTATATTTTAACAAAATATTATGAGATATTTAAACATGTCATTAAAAACCTTGTTTCAGTATCAC